ATTCTGCCGGTTGCAGGAGCTTGAAACTAATGTAAAGACAAAACGACTTCGAGACTTTGGTTAAATGGTGCGAGGCTCGTGGCTGTCCAAAGCCAATGGGAGAGGCAAAGAGAAACGCAGAGCCCGGGATCACGCAGATAGAAAACAATAAGATTTTCATTGATGTGATGAAAAACTGTAGGGAGAACAAAGCAAAAAGAAAAAATCCATATTAAGTTTAAAGTTTTTCCCCTCGGAAAATGCTTGCCGGGGTTTCACTGACATTATTAACCACGCAGTGCAGTCTAGGGGCCACTGCTGAGATCAGGAAGCAATTTTTTATTTATTTTTTTTTACCGTCACATTTGTACGGGGTTGTTTGCCTTCCTCTGTTGTTGGGGCTGGGGTACAGTCCTCTCCCTTGGATCTCTTGAGCGTATTTTAACAATCAAGAAAGAGGCTGTAGTGTCAAGCAAGGATGTCTCTATGAAATCCTTCCTTGGAATCAGCATAAAAATGCCCTTTTTGTTCCTCTCCCTTCCAGAACAGTGTTGCTGATCCCCTTTGCGACAGCTGAAATGCAGCCAAAAGTGGAAAGAGAACCTGCAGTTGCCGTCATGCTGTGGCCGCATCTCCATCGCTTTAGCTATACCTGGTGTCTGGAGAAGCCCTACCCCGGACTCTGTGACTCCTTTTACCCTTTTAGGTCACTGAGACTCAGAAACGCTGCTCCTGGCAAGGGGAGAGTGAGAAATTGGCCGTGTAGCACACAAAGTCTCTGAGGTATAAATAAACTGCACGGGAACTTGTTGGACGACACAATGGAGAGAGAGCAATTCAGAGGGCTCTTAGGCTTTGTCCATACACGGTGTGCACTGGTGTAACATTGCTGGTTAACAGGGTCTTTATTTATTGTTCCAACTGGTGATGGTTATAGGGCCACGTTAGTCCCCTTCCTATACAACATAACCTCATCTGTGGTGCAGGGGGGGATTTGTACTGCATCCTTTAGGCTGCCATAATTCAAGCAGTGCAGCTGTTGTGTAGATGGGACCTTAGACGAGTTCTGTCTAAATGTGGGTGCCAGGTTCTTGCCCTGCAATTGGGGTTGTCATTCGCACAACTGCATACCAGCTGTAACAGATTTCCCTCCTGATGTTGCATTTGTTTTGCTCCCCTGACAATAACTGCATGCTACAAAGTGGAGAGCAGGGCCCTTGAGGGGCTTGAATCCAGCATTTACCAGTCACGAGATGTGCTGTGCTTGCATATTGGGAGGCTTTTTTTTTAAAGCCACTCTTCGGCGTTCAGTTATGTTCTCCAGATAACTGGATAGGAGTTTATCTCTGCTCTCTCCTCACTGCAGCAGTGGCCTCCATTCTGGTGCTTCCCCATTGCTAGCCTTATGACCTGAACACGTGACATATTAATGTGAATGCCCTTGACTTTGGTGCAACAAAGAATGCTTTACCTCGGAGGAAGAACAGCGGTGAAAATACCCTGACGTAAGTTATGCTACTCTAAGTGTCCCGCAGCCCAGGATGACTGTGGACATACTTTTGCTCAGTGCAAACAGACCACTTAATGGTATATTGCCATAATAGTGCCTACTGTGACAGCTACCCTGGGGACAAATGATCATCTGTCTGCTCCAAATCTCAGTACAAATTTAATGCGAACATGAGTGTTAATGTATTGTATGTTCCGGCCCCGACTGCATTTCTGATCTGGAACAGCCCTACATATCCTAATGTTTTAGCTTTCCAAACATGCCTTACTTTGTTTTAAGGACAAGGTTTTCTTAGGGTGAGCTCTTTTGTTAGGATAGATTTAGACTAGCTTTGAATGCAAGACTTTCTTCATTGCTTTGTTCTATTAATTGGTCTGTTCTAGTCCCCAAAATGTTTTGATGTAGCTGCAATGTAGACAGTTCTGTCACCCTGTTTTCTCAAGTGTATCATGTGTTTTATGACTGCTGCCTGCTATTATTCACTTTATGTGTGTCCTGAATATGGTTTGAAGGTGGAAATAATACAGAGCACTGCTGTAATACAGAACACTGCTGGACAGAGGTTCTTTTTTTTTTTTGGAGGAACTGATT